GAGCAATAGAAGTGAAGAAGGGAAGACGACGGTGGATGATAGTAGCTGAAGATCGGTCAATGGTCGATAGTAACTGAATGAAGGTTGGATGAAGGCTAGACAACGATGGCGTCTCAGATCTTGCGATATGATTTGGCAAAGGTGAAATACGATTGAAGGAAAAATGTCTCTGTTTTAAGGATTTTACGACTGAATATCTTTGTTTCAGATTTTAGGGCAAATCTGAATACGCGAGCTGAAACAAATTGATCGATCTCACAAGCTCTCCGACTCGAATGACGTATCGAGTTTTTCAAAAGTTCGTGAGTAGTTTGAATCAAGCCTAAAAAGCTCGACATTTTTCATGAGCTCAAACTCGTGATCTACTCAATTTTCGACGAGTCGAGCCTGAGTTCGTTACGAGTCGATCTCAAGTAGCTCACGAGCTACTCGGTTCGACTGCACCCCTAGTAGTGATTAAGAGTTTAAGAGGGAACAGAGTAGATTTATTTTAAGTTTATTACAAAAATAATTCTACTCATGCAATGGCTTCAAGCTAAACCTGGTAAATTAGGGTAACCTTGTTGCTAGGTTCAAACAAAAATAGCAACTCCCAGAAAGAGTGTAAGTTTCTTTGGACCAAAACATTAAATTGGACAATACCCAGTGTCACAAGAAGCATCTGATTAAACATCACAAAGTTAAAACTTAAAACTCGAAAAACCAAAAAAAAGAAAAAACATAGAAAATATATAGAATAACCCAAAGTCCGTCTTAAAAAAACCAAAAAAAAAAAACAAAAACAAAAACAAAAAAAACTCTTAAGAGGCAGCAGTTTTCTCCTCTGCGGCAGCTTCAAAGGTCTCACCGGCCACAAGCTCTGGGACCTCATCATCATCTTCCTCGTGATTGTTGACAGCACCAGCACCGGCAGCAGGCGATTGCTTCTGGAACTGCTCTGCCAGCTTCCTCAAGTTGTCCAAGTTATCTGGTCCTGAAAATGATTTGAAAGCAAAAATGCTGTTCAGCCACCAGTCACAAATTAACTGACTGATCAATTGTTCAGGAGAAAAAAACAACACAAAATACATACCCAATTGGTTAATAATTCCTGGGAGAATATCCTGCAACTCTGTTAAATGGAAAAAAACCACAAGTTAATTCTCATGACATTACACTTATCAGAATTTAACAAAAACCCAAATACAGAATACCCAGGATAATCAATATTTTATGGATAGCTCAAAGACATTAACCAAAAAAATACAAAATAACTTTGTGACAGAACCAAATTCTTAGTAAGTAGACACAGTTTTATATATTATAGATTTTCTTCCAAATAAAAAATGAAAGATAAGCTTACTCTTGGTTTGCGGAGAGCCACTAACAACCCATGTATTGGCAGCAATGGAAGCTTGAACTGAATATAGGGAAAAAAAGTTATTAAGTCTGAAAAAGAGGATTATAATTTATTTAACAGATAAAAGGCTTATAACTTGTGTTTACATAGGCTTTACCTTTGGGGTTTATGAACTGAATAACTACGTCATCCTTGAAAATGTTAACTTCCTCAATTGCAGGAATAGCATTCACTCCTATTCTCTTCAAGGTGCTCTGAAGTCTTTTGTCATCAGTGGTGGTTGTCTTGTGGACAGCTTTCTTCTTTCTGTGGGTGAAAGAGTATGTTAAGAAAGAAAAAGAGTTTACTTCAAGTACAACCCAACCTTAATGACGAAACTAACACTTCTCCAAATGAAAGCAAAACTAATTCATCAGTACACAGTTAAACACACACACTGACCACAGGCAACAAAAGGTGCAGAATCTTTACAAAGGAAATAAAGCACTACACAAAGTATTGGTTTCTTCTGCCTCATGTTAGCATATCCACTCATGGACATTTCTTAATTATACTACCCAAAACACTAAGTTTATCATAAATAAAGAACCTTATTTCAAACATTAAGTTTTTTGGCTAGAAACTGAAACTGGATACTTGAGGACAAGATGCATAAAAACAATCATGAAGGCCCAAAAGCAAACAAAAAAATACAACAATAATCTAGTTATCAACCTAATTGAAAACAAATTGTTACACTAACACCACACAATTAATTCAATGCAAGGTAAACTTCCACACCTTCTCATGCTACCCTTTCCACCGGTGCGAACTGCACCAGCCATCTTCATTAGCCTCTCAACATTCATCTGCATAAACATGATAGAAAACAATCAGAACGAAATATATTGATAAAATCAGCCAACGCAAACCTAAAACAAAACATCAAGACTCTATAGAAAAACAAAAGGCAAAGGATGCTAAAAACTCCACAAAATCGAGGTGTCAAGAACCAAACGCGGCCTAAATATAATTGCAAGAGTTTTAAGTTCACACAATAAACACTACAAGACAAAACATAATCAGTGTAAGCTGAACGGAACAAAAAATGAAATTCATATAAGCATGCACATATCGAGATATCAAAATATGAGCCAAAACAGAGTACCAATAAATGATTTCAGCTGAATTAAAAAAACCTAATCCCAAAACAAATTAACAACAGTTCCAGGAGTAACAATAAGGGCGCAGTTGAAGCAGAGGAGCAATACTCGTTATCCACAATGGTGCAAAAACATTACTATATATTTCAACTCAAACCCGCATAATTAATCCCACAAAATAACCAAAAAAACCCTAGCTCAAACAAGCAAATATATTAACAACAATTACAAAAGGGATCCAATAGAAAACAACTTAACAATATAACAAACGAATAACAAAGCAAACCCATAAACCAAAAATCAATAAAGCATAAAAAAATTCAAGTACGAAGAATAAATGAATAAGAGAGAAATAGTCTTTAGAATATAGGAGAATAAACAAGAAGACCCAGAAGGGAACAGAGAAAAAGACGCGTTTTAGGACTACCTTGGCTAGGGTTTTGAGTGGGGAAGGAGAAGATAAGAGAAGAACAGAGAGAACTTGGCTTCTTTTGTTCGCAGGCGGCGCTTAAGGTTTTGGTTTAGCTTTGCTTCGATATAAAAAAGCTTTCTCAGAGTACTTGTGCATGAGTTATAATCCGACGGTCAAGATTCGTCGTGAGGTTATCCACGTGGCGTAATCTTAATGGCGTTTGGCTGGCTTTATTGAACTGTGAACTCATCCTCTGCCGTTCGATTTTAGTTGGGTATAGATCAAATCGATCCGGCTCTTTAACTTCTTTTTGGCAGGACAAGCTAATTAAGAGAGTGTTTGTTTAAGTTTATGAAAATTAGTTTATAAGCAAATTGCTTATAAGTTAATTTTAACTTATAAGTATTTGAAATTTTAAGTAATTACGTATTTGGTTAAAGTACTTATAAGTGACTGATAAGTAATTGACTTGTTTGGTAAAATGTGGCTTATAAGTACATTTTATTATAAAATTATTAAAAAAAGTACTAAATTAAACAAGGGCATACTATGGAATTTTAAAATTAAATAAAGATAATGTGGTAATATATTTGGTCAAACAGCTTATAAGCCAAAAAAAAAAAAAAAAAAAAATACCTCCCCTCCCAACTTTTTTTTTTTTTTTTTGTTTTTTTTTTTTTTACTTATAAGCTCAAAAAAATTATAAACAAACAGGTTAACTTAATTTTAGAGCTTATAAGCAAGTTTGACCAGCTTATAGCTTAAACAAACACCCACTAAAAACATAACCTTACCGGAGAGTTGAAATCCAACGGTTGATAAGGCCAGTAACATACCAGGGCACAAATCTCCACCGTTGGATTCAATAGTAATCCGACTGACCAAGAATCTAATATAAAAACTAGTTGATAATTACGGATGGGCATAGGCGGGGTGGGGTCAGGGACCCCGTTCTGGCCCTGACCCGAAAGCCCAAGAGGATTCCCTAATCCCGACCCGTAGTCCGTTCGGGGAATCCTCGAATAAAGCCCGTTCCCCAAATTTCCGAATTCCCCGTTTGGCCGTTTTGTACTTTTGTGTCTTTTATGTTCTTTTACTATTTTTTCTAATTATAATATACTATTAAAAAGAAATTAAATCTAATGTACTATAAACATAAAGACCATTATACTAAATTGATAATATATACAAATGTACATATTACACATATATATGTTATCTAACATATATTATAACCATATATAATACACAATGTTAATGTATAACTTTATTTCATAGCATACATATCATGTATAATGTATAATACATATACATTATATATATATTTATAAATATATATATAATATATATTTCAAATATTAAAATTAATATAAGTATATATAATATATATGATTGGCTTTTTAATATAATATAAATATATATATATTATATATAATATATTATATTATATATATATATTTTCAATATTAAAATTAATATAAGTATATATAATATATATGATTGGCTTTTTAAATATATATATTATATTATATTTATATTATATTATATATAATAATATAATATATATATAGGTGGGGATTTCGGGGTGGGGACAAGACAGGGTCAAGCCTGGGCGGGGCAAGGCAAGACCTATCTTGACCTCGGCCCATCCTTGAAATTCGGGATTGATTTTGGGCCCGATCTCGGCCCAAATCCCGAATGATTCGGGGAAACCTTGCCCCATCGGGGCAGGTCCTCACTGGGCGAGGTTTTATGCCCATCCCAATTGAATGTACCAATGAAAAGGTATAGTCTAAAGCAATGAATGCTATAATTAGGGGTTAATAATGTTGTGGATTTAGTTAATGCATTAAACTTAATAAAAAAGACCCCAAAAACTTAAGCAAATAGTACTATAATTATTAATTAGGTGTTAATAATTCAATTAAGGTGTTTAATTTTTGGACATACTTTGTGGAAGCAAACTACAGAGTCCGATCATACGACTTTACTTAGATTGTTAACAAATCCTAAAAAACCAACTTTTTTCTATAATCATGTCAAGGAGACAAACTATCAAACTTGATAAGCTGACAAAGTTCGCATTTGATTATTAGTGCTACTCGAATCCAAAATATTTCACCACTCGATAATTAACAATAGACATTGATGATTATAGCTTTGCATTTGATGAAATCCGATAGAACTAGGAATCTACATGTTAAGAGAGTTGATGACTGCGATTTATCAAAGATTCTTGATCCCTGCCATCAGTTTGGACACTGGCAATGATGTGTGTACAGGAACTGGGAACCAACAGCTCTATGTGCGAGGTAGTCAAAGAAATTGAGCACATCCTGCAGCCTGCAGAGTCCGGAGTCCATAGCTGAAGCCTGAATGGTTTCCACATCAAAAGATATATAGAAGCTGCAGAAATAAATAGTAATCTTTTAGCGTGGTTTTGCCATTGTAGTTGATATCAAGCCACTGTTGATCTGGACGTCTTACCCCTCTTAACTTTCTGGTTTTTTAGGTTCTCATATTACTGGCTGTTATAAGTTTGTAACTGGAGTAAGGCATTTCACTTAGCTTCCCAAACCTTCCCTCGTAGAAGTGCCATACTTCTGACCTAATCACATAAAAGATCAAGTGAGAATACTATTGACAGGTTTGGTCAAATCAGAGAATCAAAGGAGCAAATCAAAGAATAGCTGAATTTCAGATGTTGTACCAGTATGCCAAGAACTGAAATGGTGCATACTTTCCATAGTTCATTTTAACGTCATTTTGAACTGTTTTAATGGTACAATTTCTTTTATGGACCTGCATTAGCAAACTGTCACAGATATACCAAACAAAATTTCACACAACGCATAAAGGAGAAACCAAACATTACCTGCTTTAAATGCCTGATTGTTTAGGAATCTGAAGGAATCACATGGTAAATTCCCATGCATACAAGCACATTGGCACATGTAAATGGACCAAATCCATCAATCTTGCTCAACTGTTCAGTCAGCTTATCATAGCTGGCTAAACTTGCTTCACTGCAAATTTCTTCAAGTTGTTCTAACTGAATCCTGCCTTCAACAATAGCCGGGGCAAGTTTTATTATACGACCTGCTCTGTAGGCAAGATTGCAGCGCTTTGCCAGAAAACTTTCATCCATATTTGCTAGTTCTCCTGGACTCGGAAAATTACCAATCCTATCACTAGCATATGTTTCTTTCCCTTTAGACTAAAGATCAGACACTAAACACAAATCACTTGTAGACAGCTATTGTGCTGCACATGAATCATCTTCAATGTCATCCTGAGGAAAGCTTGGGTTCAAATTCTCTTCTGTCTTTCTAACACAATTCAGTTTCGAATCCAAATCTTATTCCAAGTTTGCTTTAACCTCTGCAAATTTGTTAGTTAATGAGGTGGAAACTTTCGACAATTTCCTCCTCCTCTTCAAATCTTTTCCTGCTGGTGTCTTCGGAATGTAATCCTCCTGCTTAACTTCAGCAACCGAGCTACTGAATGAACAATGCTGCAACTCAAACTGAAGCTCACAAAGTACCCTAGCCATGCTCAAAGTCCTCGGCCACCTATTAAAATTTAAATATATAGTTTACCAACTTTTTGTTAAAAATCAAGAAGAATACTAACATGTAGTCTAATAGCACAAAAAAGATAATGTTTAACTCCGTAAGTTGTAAATTTTCATCTTTCTCTGCACAAAACACACTAATATTGTCAACATTTTTGTTTCTGTAAGCTCTCAACATCTACTCTAACCAAAAATCTAAGCTTCAACGCTTTTTTACTCCATCACAAAACGTAAAAAAAAAAAAAAAAAAATTAACGATTAGAAACATTCAGAACAATTTACAAGCATAGTTGCAATGCCTATAGCACATAAAATAAAATTCAAAGCAACTTTAACTGGCTGAAGCATTTTATCAAACATTATATAAGCAAAAAGCAATCCTCGAAACAGAGCATAGAAACTAACTGGCAATTGCAAAGGAGCGTGCACTTGACCATATCTTTAAACAAAGTAGGAGACCTAAACACTCTTCCACTGAAATCCTTCACAAAATCACACCCTTCACCTACTTCTGAAGCAACCCTTTTGAACTCTTTCACATTCCTCTCATCACTCTCCGACAAGCGCAGCATTCTCGCAACTTGACGCACCAACGCGTTTTGCTGGTGCTTAGAGAGCGAACCAGATGGGGTTTTGTGGAGTTTGATTCGGAGAGAATGCGGGTCCTGGCGGGGTTGAGAAATGGTGACTGTGATTGACGGAGGAGGAGAGTTTGAGTGGACAGTGAGATGGAGAGGACGAGTGAGGGACTTTGTGAGTGGGTCCCAATGACTGGGAGATAACATGAACAGGCCATGGCTGCAGACTGCTGTTTCCAGATCGAATTTTCCTGCTGCTTCGCCTAATGGAAGCTCCAATACACACTCCTCCATTGCCACTTTCTCACTCTATGTGGAATGGAGGGTAATCTTCGGCTTTTAAATTAATACATTCTCCTTTTAATATAATCCTTTGGGTGTGTTTAGTTGGTTCAATATATTGGTGACTAGGTTATATTAATTAGAAAGATAAACGAGTGAATATATTAAATAGATTATTAAACTGTTTGTCATTTTTAAATATTAATATAATATTATTTTTATCGTTATTCTTTGAATCATTTCTTTTAATCACTACAGTTGAAATTTTGCTAAAACAGTCAAACCATATAAAACTTTAATTTATAGCAAAGTCACCCTCACCCACTCTAAGCAACTGCCGACAACCAACCACTGGCAATCACCGTAATGGCGCAAGACCGACGGGATCTAGCCGATCGTGCATCGGTAAGGTTGTTTCCGACCAGATCTGGTCGTTTCTGGCCATGGATCACATATCCATGGTTGGAAATGACCTTACTAGCGCACGGCCAACCAGATCCCGCTAGTTGTGCGCCATTACGACAACTGTCTGTCGGTGGTGGTCTTGGGTGGTTGGGGGTATTTTGTTAGCTTTTAAACTTTTTTGTAGATAGGGTGTTTTAGCTAAATTCTCAAAGTAGGGGGTCTAGGGGGCAATTGTGCCCAAAATTGTATTTAATTAAAGGCAAAATAGGTATAAAAATATTACTTGGTAATCTTTTAATAACAGTTCCTGGAGAGGATATCTGATTACCCTTTGTTTAGCCAACAGTAAATATTATTTACAATAAATGATATCCGTAATATTTTATTGCTTGCAAACCAAACAAGGAAATTTTAAAACTTAAATGAAGATTATCACTGTATTATTATATGACCTCGACCCAAACAGACCCTTTTAACTTTGGTGAATGACTGATAAACAGTGTGAATAGATAAATAGGAGTCAATCCTTTTATGAAGCAAAAAGCAATCAGTCTAAAATACTTTGACTTCTGAGGAATTTACTTGTGAAAGTCGAGGGCCTGCAACCTGGTTGTTTAAGTCAAGGGGGTCACTTGTTTTTCTTCAGAAAAATGAAAAGAAACATGATGAGACAAAAGGAGTTGAAAGGCTGTGATTTGTGAATGGTTTAAATTGCTTTTGATTTCATTTTAAGATAATATAGAATTAGCTATGGAACTCTCCTTCACATGGAATAAATTCATAATTTATGTATCCAGTACAAGTTCATTTGAGATTCAACAATTGAATAGTCGTTTGATAGAATCATGAACAATTTATTAGAGACTACTACCACTTCAATGAAACTTTCTTGCACCAAAAATTATAGTTACATTCTCATCTATCAAATATTTTTTACTAGTATTCTTGCTTTTTGTTAGAGTAGGTGCCCTAGAGCCAATCAATTATTGTAGAATTGACTCTTTGTTATAATGTTTATTGATCAATAAAAGACATTTTATTCTATATCGCGTAAATCATAATTGAATGTATTGATATATATATCCTTAGAATGGTAGAACCATGACGAGAGTATCATGTTTCAAATCTTGATAGTGAGAACCCTATGAGCACATATGGTGGCCATTCTAGAAACGTTCGTAGCCCTAGTACTAGTCTGAAGTAAGGGCACAAATAATACGGTAAGACTATCATAGTGTTGAACGATCCTGTCGAAAGGCAGTGATTGATCTCACTTATCAAGGTTGTTTGGTGACAACCTGGTGTAACACATGGGTGCTTGCTGTAGGCAAGTTCACTGGACTAACCTACTAGAGGATTCCATATGGATGGTAACCCTAGTGTCTATGGAACAAATCCTCTAATGAATGGTGGTGCATGTGATCCTTAGACTTGAGATCACCAGAGCGCCTTGTGCACCGATTGGTGCAGTTTGACACTAGCCCAACGCAGTTACATTTAGAGCTGTCAATACGGTAGTGATTGGCTGCATCAAGGAGTGTATCAAGACTATGGTGGATCGACAGAGGATTCATCACTCCAGGGTATGGGAGAAGTTATCTCATGGCACAATTCAATAAATGACAATGACACTAAAACTGTGGCCATAGCGGGATTAAGTTGTTGCTCTATCTAGTTTATAATTCCAATCATTGGTCTAGTAATTGAATACATACATATCGAGAGTAACTGAGGTTGACACTATTTCTATGCCTCGGTCTCGTTGAGATAACGGATGATGAAAGGATTGGATTGTACGGTAACCATATCGTTGACAGGTAGCTGCTTCGCTGAATCCGAATCTATCAAGTGGTCATGATGCAGTGCTAGGGGCCAATCTTGGTCTATGTGTAGTGAGACGATTAATTGGTGTTAATCGCAATACTACATACTACCAGTATGATAAGGAGCCTACGGGTCACACACATAGAAGATAATTTAATAACCAGTTTATAAGAAGGGCGTTTTCGTCTGTTTAGGCAAAATGGTATTTTGATAATTTCACAGTGCAATTAAATTTGCTGAGGTCGTAGCCTTTATTTAATTTGATATTAAAATTAAATAAGTGAGATTACGTTTAAATATGTGTTCGCATATATTTAAATAAAGTATCATTATTGTTAAATGTTAATATTATATATATATTAATTGAATTTAATTGAGATACTGATAATTAAAATTAAAATATCTAAATGGGGTTGTTTGGATACAAGGGGTGTTTTGGTTGGTGCCCAAGCCCATTCCATGATGGAATAGGGCAAAGTATGCACTATATAAGTGCAACACTTTGTGAATTTAAAAAATTAATTCATTCAATCATTAAGCTTAAAATTCTAGCCCCCTTTCCTTCTTCCCATGCCAGTTTGTCTCTTTGGGTTGAATCAAATATCTTTTTATTTTGTTTTTTGTTCTTAAGGCTAAAGAGGATCTAGCAAATCCCTCTTTAGTTCCTTGGGGTTATCTTCGTATAGACTACCTTGGTTCAATCCTACCCTTGGGTCGGTAGCAAAATTCGTTCTGAGACAAGTTGGAGGAGCCTCCAAACATGCGTATGATTTCTTAACTCTAAACTGATTTTTCTGCAGATTTTAATATAATGTATAAATTGTAAATTTGTGCCCTGATCTTGGTTCTAAGGAATGATCCATGTTGTAAATAATTTTTGTTTTCCGCTGTCATGACTTGATCGTTTTTTAACACTTTCTGCCACTTAGCAGCTTTGAGTGTCCAGTAATCCTTTTTACAGGTTTTTGTCCAACAAAAATTTAATTGGCCCCCTTGACAGATATAAAGTTTAATCCTTCGCAAGTGCACAAGTCACAATTGTAGCATAGTGCACGAGTAAGGGTTGATTCCATAGAGACCGGAGATGCTCTTGCGATCCTAGAAACTATGCCTTGATAAAAGTAACAAGAATGAAATAAAGAAAAACACATAAACAACATTAAAGCAAATCTAAATCTAACTATCTACAAAGAATCCTAGGGCTCTAACTCCATCATAATTATCAAGCTACGTGTTCATCATCAAATTATCATTCGCCCCTCTTTATTTTAGGCTACGTGTTTATTTTTATTTTTGAAGGGACAAATTTTGATCCTGCGGTACATCTTACAGTAATGTTTCCAACATTATTATTATTCTTGCACAAGTTTTCTAAATACAACTCGTTCCCCAGACATGAATTCTCTAGATTCTCATTGAGGGATATTTAGAGGGTACCTGACTAGGGAGGGGTTTTACAAGCTAAGAATTGGTTGACCTCATTATCAACAAGCTCGATTGTAACCTGGTAGCAGATGACACAAAAATTCCTAAGTAGGTATTTTCCTCCTACACAGACTAAATAGTTGTGTAATGATATTACTATGTTTGTGCAGGTGGATACAGAGTCATTATACAAAGCATGGGAAAGGTTCCAGGACATGCTTTAGAGATGCCCCCACCATGAATTATCGGTTTGGCTGCAAGTCCAGCGTTTTATAATGGTCTTAATAGTGAAGTTCGGAATATGATCAATGTTGTTGCGGGTGGTACTTTAGGTAAGAAGACACCAGACCACGCTTATGAATTATCGGAGGAAATGGCTTCAAATTCCTATCAATGGCTACCATAGTGGTTGCCTGTGAGAAGAACGTCAAGTGTTCATAACATAGATGCTATCACAGCTTTGGCAACACAAATGCAAACGTTGAATAAGAAGATTGATGGACTTCAAATGCAAAAACTTGCTATAGTTGCTTTTGTGTGTGATTTTTGTGGTGAAGATCACCCTAACCATGAGTGTCAGTCAGGTAACATGTTTCCTATTAATTCTATGTCTAATCAAGCTAACAATGTTTCAAATTTTTTCAGGCCTAATAACAATCCATACAGTGAAACATATAATCCAGGTTGGAGGAATCACCCAAATTTCTCTTGGAGTAACAACAATCAAGTGAATCCTCCACCGTTAGGTTTCCAATCTCAAGAGAATAAATCAAATTTAAAGGAGATGATGGCGAAGTTCCTAAGTCCTACAGAGACAAGAATTCAGAATTAGGAGGCTTCCATCAAGAATTTAGAGGCTTAAATTGGCCAGTTGGCCAATATCATTTTGGGTAGACAGCTAGGGCATTTACGGAGTGACACAGAAAAGAACCCAAAGGAGCAATGCAAGGCCATAACCTTGAGGGATGGAAAGGTGATTGGTGAAGAAGAATTTCAAAAGAGGGTGGAAAGTGAAGCTAAGTTACCAGTCTCTATTGAAAAAAAGAAAGTGAATTCAGAAA